TATGTCCCCACTGGATGCAACAAATGCCTCGTTTATAATGGGTTTTAATGTTTTTGTCTCGTCGCTCTGGCCGGGACACGGCATCACAGTATGGTGAGGGGCGTAACATTTCCGTCACACGCTTGAGGTATTCGGCCAATCACAACGCACTGGATAGCTGGCCAATCAGAGCACACCTCGCTTTTTCAGACCGATGAGGTTTGTAAAAATCGACGCGTTTCAGAAAGGCGGGGCATAGAGGAGAAACAATAATGTACAGTATGTGGAAAATAATGTTTTTTTAACTTTAAACCGCATAAACACATTTCATTACACCAAATACACAAAATAATGTTCTTTTTAGCAGCATCATATGACCCCTTTAAATAAAGTGTCTGCCAAATGCACAAATGTAAATAAAACGAATGCATTTTTTTGTTGTTGTTGTTGTTGATTGCACAGCCCTTAAATGGCAAAACCAGCTTCAGGACAGAGCAAATCCAGTCCTGCATCCTCCCAGATTAACCTACCAGATCACAGGAGCCTCGTCGGCATCACAGAGAAAACGCAAACCACAAAAGGTTTGTAGGCTGCAACTCCTCAAACACAAACCGCTTTAAAAATCCACTTATTTATCCGAATGCACGCCTTTTCATCGATCTGAATCAGGGTGCCTACAGGAAGCCCATGGAGCTGCTCCTCAGCATGATGGAGGAGCTCTGGTCGGGGAAGAAGGAGAATCAACAAAACAGGACCTTCCTCAGTAAGTGATTCTCTCCGTAACAGAGCAATCCATAACTAGTGAACTCGTCTCGCTGATCCAGTGCTCTCCATCCAGTGAAGATGGTCCAGATCCTCAGCATGATGGAGCAGGATGTTGTGGCAGGAGAACAGCAGATACAAACTCTGCAAGAGATGCTCAAAGCCTTGAAAACACGGACTGAGTTACAGGAAAAACAGCATCGGTCTGAGACTGAAGATCTCAAACTCCAGCTCCAGCAGGCGCAAGAGTCCATCGTAAGATCATTTCAGTCAAATTATTAATGGTTATATTGAGCTAGTTTATTATTAGCAACTTAAGAAAAGCTCAGTGAATGTGATTTGTGTGCCATATTCCAATGTATATTAGGACAGCCCTCCTGTCCTCGATTTGAGAGGCTTAAAAGGGCTTTTACCATTGACAAAAATTAAACTTTTGGGTTTTTTGTTATTAAAGGCAAATAATAAGCAAGCCCAGCCCAGGTGACAAAAAGTAATGCAACGCATTACTTTCCATAAAAAGTAACAATTAGTTACTTTTTATGGAGTAACACTGACCCTGGAGCACAAAACCAGTCATAAGGGTAAATTTGTTTTAATTAAGATTGATACATCATCTGAAAGCTTGATCAGCTTTCCATTGATGTATGGTTTGTTAGGATAGGACAATATTTGGTCGAGATACAACTATTTGAAAATCTGGAATCTGAGGGTGCAAAAAAAATCTAAATATTGAGAAAATCATCTTTAAAGTTGTCCAAATGAAGTTCTTAGCAATGCATATTACTAATCAAAAATTAAGTTTTGATATATTTACGGTAGGAAATTTGCAAAATATCTTCATAGAACATGATCTTTACTTAATATCCTAATGATTTTTGGCATAAAAGAAAAATTGATAATTTTGACCCATACAATGTATTGTTGGTTATTGCTACAAATATACCCCAGCGACTTAAGACTGCTTTTGTGCTCCAGGGCCACATATTATAATGCATTACTTTTAAAAGTAACTTTCACCAACACGGTTGCATATCAGGATTCATAAAAACTAATATGGAATATTTGAAAAATAGCGTATGGAAATGATATGCACATGAGGGCATGCATAGTAACACTAGGCATCATTAGCTCCATATATGGCCATTTTGGGGATGCATGTACGCAAGTTTCTTAATTTTGCACAAGTACAGTTTTGCAAGTCTAAAAAATGACTGTCTTTTGTGCATATGCAGACTTGGGACGGAATCTACACTAAGTTTGGTGCTTTTTTCCATTTGGAAGTAAATAACGACAAGAGCTTTTTATCTTTCATACGTCACACAGAGAAGTTAAATGCGTTGGCAGTGACGTCTGCTGTTGTCTTTAATACAGCAAACCCTTAATGAACAGATGAAGAATGTGCTGGAGGAGAACGTGTCTTTACAGAAACAGCTGATCAAAGCAGAAAACAAGCTGCTGTCGTCTCGGCTGAAGAAGATGCCAGACATGCAGGACAGAGGTCAGTGTCTCAATACTAAGTTGTTGACATAAAACAGGTTATTAATGTTTGTGCTTGTGTATTTTTAGAACAGCAGACGGTCCCTGAAGTGTTAAATGTGAAAAGGCACACAATTCAGGAGGGAAACGGAGCGAATGAGCTGCAGGAGAGCTACAGGTCTGTGTCAAAGACGATCCAAATGCTACACAGCTATAAAACCCACCAGCCTTTGTGTTGACTGGGTCTTTTTTGCAGGTCTTTGATTACCAGAAATGAGCGTTTGCTGCAGCAGCTGGAAGAGGCTCTGATGAACTGACTGCTGCAAATGAAGAGCGTTCCTCCAATAGACATCTAGGTTTCATTTATTATAAATCTGGAATATAAAGTTACACCTCGTATGTAAATGCCTTTTGTTTTATATACACTCTCTAAAGCAGTATGGCTTCTGTTTATGTCACACATGCATATCTTGGAAGTTGTGCAAATTTGCTTGCTAGGTTTGTTCAACCGGAGTACTTTTCTATTCAGACGGACCTTAAACAGGATTTCTGTGCATCTTAAGAAGTCTTAATTTGCCCTTCCACAATTAAGGCCCTAAAAAGTCTTAAATCAGGGCAGAAAGTCCCGCAAAAAAAATGTATCTTATTTTCCAATACAAATATTTAAACATCTTTAAACCAAGATACATTTACTTGAAATGCAAAATTACGTTTTCTGAGAAACTGAACAAAACTAAATGAGTTCATGCAACAAATCATCATAAAACTCATTCATTCTGAAATATTTTCTCAGTTCTTATCTTGTCATTTTGCTTCTCAATGTGTCTTGATTTTTTATTTGAGCCTTACATTTTCTTTAATTGGTCTGGAAAATGTCCTTGATGAAAATGACCTTCGTAAAACCCGCAGAAACCCTGGTGAAGCGTCAAATACAGAAAAAAGTTCCCATGTGACAACTAGCCCCGATCTCCACTGTTGCAGAACACAATTGCTCGAGACTTCATGTGCATTGGAAATAAAGAAGAACCAGGCAGTTTGTTTTTTATTCAATACGATGCTACAAAACACTGACACGTTAAAATCGCTTTACCATCACCATATGACATGCATATCAGGATACTGCAGAACATTAAAAAACATTGTTTAAAAGACAGTATTGTTCCTCAAAACGGATGGTTAACAGTTTTTGGTATTAAGCACACAAAACATATGTTAAATACAACACCATATATACTTACTTGTGGTTTGTTATCATAAATATGAGTCACTTTCTGCGGGAGAGCCGTAGCCACTACTCTTTTCTGAAAATAGATGTTCTGTAGAAGAATATGTCTGTACAACTCTCACTCCTCCCTTGTTCGCTCCATAGACATGGACAATATCGTCGATTACAAAGTTCGGGGTTCCCACCATCACATAGTTTAAAATATGTGATTTTCAGATCTGGAAAAGTCATAAAATCTTAAAAGTTCTTTTAAAAATCTGCTCTACGCTCTAAAATATTAAATTGAATTGTGAGTGAATCATTCTTTTGAGTAAGTTTTTTTCAAGTGAATCAGTGATTCACAAATCAGTTTATCACATAAAAAATGTTAGGGAATTCTGCATCTGTGACCCTGCAGCACAAAAGCAGTCTTAAGTCGCTGGGGTATATTTGTAGCAATAGCCAACAATACATTGTATGGGTCAAAATTATACATTTTTCATTTATGGCAAAAATCATTAGGATATTAAGTAAAGATCATGTTCCATGAAGATATTTTGTAAATTTCCTACCGTAAATATATCATACATCAATGGAAAGCTTTCAGATGATGTATAAATCTCAATTTCGAAATATTGACCCTTATGACTGCTTTTGTGCTCCATGGTCACATTTGTGTTTTCCAGATTTGGAAAAGTCATAAAATCTTTTTTTTTTTAAATGCATATAATGAATATAGATTTGACTAGTAATGCTCTGTTTTAAAATATTAAATGAACTAAATATTGTGCTTGCATTGAGTACAACATGTTTGCAAGCCATAAAGCAGCCTGATTTCTTTTGAACGAGTCAGTGGTTCACAAATCAGTTTGAATGATTCATTAGTGACACAGTCCACATCCAGTGTTCACACGCGACTGGAAATCTCATGGAAAGTCATTGAAGTGTGGGAACCCTGAAGGTTGGATCTCATCCAGCGTGTTCAGATGGCAGTGCGTTTATAAATAAATCCGAACACTAGTTATGGTAAAGGGAATGTATTCATTTAGACGTATATCATGCCAGCGTTAGATACAGCATGTCACTTCTCTTGTAAACATTGTTCTGTAGGCAGAAACTGCGCGTATGAAAAAAAAACAGCAAAGCGCCTCGATATGACATGTTAAATATAACAACAGTGCTTTTCAAACTAAAACCACAGCAGAATACAAATACCTTTTAATATTTTCATTTGCAGTTTGATCTATTGCTGATAAACAGGCCCAGACACAATCAGCAGGCTTCAATGCTGCATAATGCATTTTAATATGGCAAAATGTGCTAATAATAAAGCTTAGAGTAGGCAGAAAGATCATCAGATTAGCCAAAGTATTTTTTATAAATGAACATGCAATTTGATCATTCCTAATTCAGCGCTGCAGATTCTGTGTGGGTCTGATTATGTGTTAAAATCATTAGAAACTTCAGCCAACTTATTTGTTTGTGTCATGTTTGTCCAAAGCTTTTAGTTCAGATGCACAGAAGAGTTTCGTAAGGACTTGCAGCCATGTTTCCCGCTGGTTCGACATTATTCGGTCTGTATTGATGTATGATAACGCTTGATGCGTTGGGTCCGATATTGTGCAACTTTTGCTGATGGTGTTTCCTTTCACATACTATAGCTAATCATTCCACAGTTAAAACACACAGGCAGTGTTTCATATTATACCATTAGAAATACATAGTTATGCCATCAACTGAAAAAACATCGACCAAACTACTAGATATACAATCTTGAGCACCAGCGGTCAGTTCTTTATGCATCAAACAATAATTTACGATGGTTGGACTTTTGCATCTGGTTATTTTAAAATATATTGCATATAAATGCAAACAAAATCAGCGTGTTTTAAAAAAAAATCTAGATAAATGAGACAGGGAAGCAGAACCAAATGATTATCAAGTCAGGTTTTTTTTCGGCCATTAATGCATTAGATTGCCAAAAAAAATGAAAATTTGCAGAAAATATGCTCACTCTCAGGCCATCCAAGATGTAGACGAGTTTGTTTCTTCATCAGGTTTGGAGAAATGTAGCATTGCATCAGTGTCTCAGCAATGGATGCTCTGCAGTGAATGGGTGCCGTCAGAATGAGAGTCTGATAAAAACATCACAATAATCCACATCACTCCAGTCCAGTCCATCAGTTAACATCTGGAGAAGACAAAAGCTGAAACAAATCCATCATTAAGATGCAATGCTACATTTCTCCAAATCTGATGAAGAAACAAACTCATCTACATCTTGGACGGTCTGAGGGTGAGGACATTTTAAGCAAGTTTTTATTTTTGGATGAATTATTCCTTTAAATTATGTGTAAATAATACTAAGACAAATGCATTTAAATATATTTTATCTTAGGCCTGAAACATACTCTACCTGCATGACCGTTAAACTTAAGATAAAAGCATCTGCCAAATGCATTAAATATAAATGGAGATAAATGTGCAATCTTAGTTTTGTGTTGTTGTAACACAAATTGTGGGATCATGGACTTGCACTGCATTACTCAAGCATTTGCAAAGTATATTTCAGGCCTGATTCTACTGCATCATTAGAGAAGCCACAAAATGCCAAATATTAATTTCATGTCAATATTCACGACAGATTATCAGTAAAACCTTCACTAGTAGAGCGTGCAATACTGTAGCCACCTGTCTTTCTTTTGGCATCATCGTGTTTGTTAGGAACGTACCAGCTGGTGACGTCGGCGTTTGATGTAAACAGCGTTCCAGTTAATAGAAATAAAACACTTACAGGAAGAGGAGCATAAACTAAATGTTATTCACAGGAAAAGACGTACCCTCAATGGAAGATGGGAAATCCATTTGTGCTTTATAGAGACGGGTTTGTCTTCTGTTGCATTCACTGCTGGATGGAGAATCTCACATGGGTTTTTGTGGAGGTTTTGAAACTTTCTTCTCGTATGACCCTGCGTGCTTGTATCCGGAGACGTATCCGGACGCATCCACCACTTCCACTCGCCCTGCCTTGCCCTTCCCGCGGCCCGTCTTGTCGAAACGCTCCTTGTGCGATCCGGTAAACTTGGTGGTGTCGGTCAAACGGGATACGGTTGGGGAAGCCACGGCTCTCTGCGAGTCCAGAAAGAGACTTGTGATAAATTCCAGTTTTCAAAATGTTTTCAAAAGTCTCTTCTGCACACCAAGGCTGCATTTATTTGATCAAAAATTATCGGTATCGGTGCATCCCTAGTAAAAACAGTAAAATTGTGAAATATTATTAACATTTAAAATAGCTGTTTTCTATGTGAATATCTGTTAAAATAGAATTTATTTCTGTGATGCGCAGTTGAATTTTCAGCATCATTACTCCAGTCTTCCGTGTCACATGATCTTCAGAAATCATTCTAATATGCTGATTTGCTGCTCAGTAAATGTTTCTGATTATTATCAATGTTGAAAACAGTTGTGCTGCCCAATATTTTTGTGGAAACCATGAAAATGTTATTTTTCAGGATTTACAGATGAATAGAAAGTTCAAAAGAACAGCATTTATTTAAAACAGAAATCTTTTGTAACATTATAAATGTCTTTACTGGCACTATTGACCAATAACAATATTAATTTCTTTAAAAAAATCCTTCTGATCCCAAACTTTTGAACATGACTGTATAAGCTCATGTCTTCATATTTATAAATATTTATCATCACTGCAATATATTCATCATTATTACATTTAGAAATCAGCAGATGGTTTAGTTATGTATTCATTCGTATACATTTAAAACCAATAATTAAAGAAATAAGTGAGTAGATTTCATCTGTATACCACAGCAAAGATTCCCAAACTTTTTTGTGAGCCAAACCAGTTTAATCTAAAATATTTACTTAAAGTCCCCTTGAGATTTTAATAATTTAACAACAAATTCACATGTTTTGGTTCTTTGATGTTGGTTAAGGGTCACATTAAATGCAGGTGAACATCAAATACATATTTTTTCTTTTTTAGTGTTTTATTTTTATTATATAAATTAATTATTTTAAATTTTTATGATTTAATTAATTATAAGCTTTTCATCAATTCATGTTTACATTTATGCATTTATCAAACTTTTCTCCAAAACGACTTACAAACGTTTGAGAAAAACAGGATACCATCAATGCTTATTCGTTTAGAGAAAGAATAGCACGTCTGCTGTGGGCTTTACCGTGACTCCAGATATAACGGGCGATTTCCCTTCTATCATTCTGTAAACCTCTTGCGCGGCGTCCTCGCTGCTCTTATCTTTGAAGCGTTTCCTGGCGAGCTCCGCCAGCGCTTCTTTGAACTGGCTGTATGTAATAGTGCGCGCAGATTTGCTCCTAGAAAACAATGACAAATGGATGATAAACTCGTCAGTATATTTGGTGGCATCAAACATAA